AAAAAAAGAAATGCTTGCCTTGGGTTTCGGGTGTTACCGGGCATAGCAAAATGAAACCGACCCGCAAATCTTTTTCCACCTGCATTATTGCGCATTTATTGTTCTAAAATTCAAATATTAATTGTTAATTTCAAATGGACACGCTGGAAAATGATCAGATTATCAAATAATTTCAACAAAAACTGTGTTTATAATAAGAAACATTTCAAATAGGCAATAATTTTATATTTAAACATCTGTAAACTGCTTGCGGTCCCACAACCCAATTTCGAGGAGACAAAACGAACGTCAGTTTTGTTAGCACGCTGACCAGTAGCTATGTAGTAAGTGGTCAAAGCAACTGGGAAAATTGCCAGTCGGCATAACAAGCAACAAAGAATTGCAGTTGGTCAACAAAACTGTCAAAGTAAGAAATCTGCATACGCGTCATGAACATACTAAGTATCCTATGCCCCAAATGATTTTCCTTTAGAAAAGTTAACCTTATTTTGAAGATAGCGCGGCGCCGAAAATACCGAAACCAGTCGGCGCTTGCAAAAGAAACCATAACCATTCATTATCATCTAGGAATTAGCACTATTAGGCCTAACACACTTGTCCATAATTCGGATATTAATTATTGAAGGCATATAAGCCAGGATCGAAGAGATGACAAAGCTGCATCTCCGGTGTGTGGAGTGTGTAAACCAAGGTAAGTTTAAACCAACAAAAATAAGCATAAGAAAAGAAGAATAAGCAAACCCCCGCGAGTGCAGACTCAATGATTCCTAGCAAACTTAACAAAGCTGAAAGCACACTGTTGGAAAAAAAGGTTACTTAATTCTTGCTATGGTCAGAGACAAGTATGTTTACCTGATGGGCACGAACGATGAGATCGATTTGGAGCTGAGCACAGCAAGCATTTACAGTATCTTCGCCAAAAAAGTGACCTGCACCGCGAAGCGAATTTTTAATGAAGCCTTTTAGATCGAGCATTGGATCAGACCACAATAAGCTGCTGGCCAGTGGAGAGTCCACTGGTTCATACAACGGGCGCTTGATCTAAATTAATTGGAACAAAACTCATGAAAATGCAGATAACTCGAAAAACTAAATACCTACTAAGTGCTTTTGTTGGGAAAACCGTTGAGTTGGTGGTTCCTTCAGGAAACGAATTTTACTTCAAGAATGCCGGCAGACTGACAACGAGGCGATGCAGCATTTTAAGAAGCAACTGGAAAAGATTCCAAGTGCATAGCTAAATTGCAGCTGATAAAAGCATCAAAATAAATCTATTATAAATTCACAAAAGACAGCATGAAACCTTTCGAATGTCGTCCAGAGATTTTAGTTCGGGTCCGATCCCACCATGCATGCATAGTATTCGATAGTGGATTATGGCAGCAAGCGGCATGCACGCAAAAGTATCATTGAATGCATTCCACAATTTGAGGCCTTCACCGCGTTCTGGAAATCGACGGTCTAGCTCCATTTGAAAACCGTACATTTGGTTGATATCCGCCGATTCGTGATTGCCTCGTAGCATATTGAACTGCAGGCCAATTCGATAAATTTTATTAATTATAGCAGAAATCAAATTTACAGGACACAAAACGAATGTCAGGATCGCTGCAAGCTGATTACCGGACGATGCAAAATTGGTCAGAGCAATCGGAGAAGTGGACAGTCAATCTAATTTTTCGATTTTGTTTGGTTCTCGAAATCGTTTTCTCGTTAAGAAATTTACATCTCTTATTTTCGGCGTTTGTAACTGGCGCCCACGTTACGCGGGCGATAATTTTAAAATGGTGAGGTCGCATACGGGAAGAGCACATGCTCAAAAATTTCAATTTCCTAACTTTTCTGGTTGCCGAGTTAAA